TTTTAAAATATATGGAGAAGAATCCTGCGAAGATATTTTCTCTCAATGGATCGTCTACAAACTGGTATGAAATGAAACAGAAAATGACGCACGCAGAGGTCGTCCGAGTCGAGTCGTACGTCTGAACAGCTCTCGTTCCGTCGCCGTGCGGAGGAGGAACGCCACTTTTCCCTCTTTGCTGAGCCGATTCACAAATTCCAGGAGTTAACTCGATACCAAACGCAGGCGTGTAGCAGCGATTCGTCACGCAAAACGCTTCTAAATCCGCTATGCACCGCTTCACATCGCTCCTAATTATCCCGATTATGGCATCCGTGTAGTGATTATGGGAACTCAAACAAGGTCCAGTGACAGCGGTGCAGGGAGCAGAGAAATGTTCCATCTTAATGACAGAAGTTACGACACGAGGCTAATGACTTCCGATAATTACGTCTGAATTATTCACAGCAAAAAGGTGAAAACGGCGACTGGAATTAGTTTGATGTTATTTAAGTTTGAAGTTATTTACCGACTTCTTGTTTCTCTGGGTGTAGTCTATCTAGCAAGACCAGAGCTAGCAAAGACCAGAACTAGCAAAGACCAGAACTAGCAAAGACCAGAACTAGCAAAGACCATAGCTAGCAAAGACCAGAGATAGAAAACACCGGAACTAGCAAAGACCATAGCTAGCAAAGACTAAGGTGAATAGATAACTATGGCCTACGCAGGTGGACAAACCCAAGACAAAATATCTGGCCCTCACAGTCACAAGGTTCCATCGAGTTTCCATGTTATGACTCTGATGTGTTCTGATTGTCTCTTGATGCGACACATTTGTCTGTGACGTAACAATGACAATATAAACCATTTCCTGACTTTGTTCTGTCTGAAAAAACTGAAACAACTAAACCCGGAAGGAAACTGAATAAACTTCCAGGAGCTCTGATGTGCCACGATCCCGTCTCTGTGTGGCTCGAAAAGACCTGCGCTAGAAACGACCCGAGCTCGAATAGACTTGAGCTAGAGCCCCAACTATTTTTTTTTTTTTTTTTTGTATTGTCATAAAGCATCTACATTACAAGTTAGGGTACATACAATGTTACAATTAAATAATTGCTTCAGAAAAATGGAGAAGTGTATACAGAACAGAAATTGCACAAGCGGGCAAGGCATTATAAAAAGTAGAGATTTTTGCATTTTTTCATAAATTAGTAATGCTTTTATATTATTTTTAGAGACAAGGTGCAAGGACTTAAAATATTCAACAAAAAAATTAAGAAAAACAGAAAAAATGGGTTTGGTGTCTTTCCATTGACATGTGTGTATGAAGTATATCCCCATTAAAATAATCAAATTAACGACATCAGATATATTACGGCCCAAGTTGTCCATGAAATAAATGACATCTTCCAGAGTGAATTGAGGCTCATTAGAGATGTTTAGAACTATCCAGTCGTGACAGTCAGTCCAAAACATCTTTGAAAACATACAAGAATAAAATAGATGTTCAATAGTCTCGTTATCATTAGAACAACAAGAGCATGGTTCAGCATCAAAGTGAAACCGCCGGTGTAAGAAATCCCCACTGGATAAAGGCCTGATATAATGTGTTTCTTTCATTTTTGGTGCAAGTGTGTATGACAAATAAAAAGTTTATGGTTTTTTTCTAAATGAGCTTTCTAAATCATATCTTATATTAGTATTAAAGTTGCAGAAATATGTCTGATTGAAAGCATGGGCAATGCATTTGTTATTGCATTTCCTATCTTAAGCGTAATGACAGAGGTAGACTCTGAATAATTTGGGATCAGTCTGAGAAGAGGGGTGGGAATAGCTTTACATACTTTAGTGTAACTATTAGTGGAAACTTTAAACTTATATTTTTCGTTAAATCTTTCAAGTGATAAAAAAGATCCATCTGTATTCAACAAGTCATATATGAAGCACACCCCACTCTCACACCAGTCAGATCTGAACAAAGATTTCTTGTTAACAGTTATCACTCTATTGTTCCATAATACAGCTTTATGCGGTGAGAAATTGTGAGCAAAAAGCAATTTCCCAAATTGTAGAGCTTGTCTATGAAAAGCTGATAATTTAATTGGTATTTTGGACACTTCAAAGTCACACTTTAATAGAAATGTCAGCCCTCTCGACTGAAGAGTTTGTTGGGAATATGAAACCAAATAGATTGAGATAATGTCTGAGTATATGTCAGACATTCTCTTAACCATTTCACTCTAAAAGAAGCAATTAAAGCTTCAAAATCTAGAGCTTTTAGCAAAGACCAGAACTAGCAAAGACCAGAACTATCAAAGAAAACATTGAATTTACTTCTTCCCACTCCATTTCGAGCTGACCAGTTGTAAAAAGAAATGTTTGTTTTTGTAAATACATAAATTGAACATATTACATCATGAAATTGTAAATACAAACATGGTGAAAGCAGGGCAATGTGTATATGTTTATTTAGTGTATTTGCATGTGTAAGTGTAGACTGTAAGCACAGACGTTCATGTAAACAAAGGAAAGTAAATATTGTATTTACTCATACAACAAATATTTGCTTGAATGAATGAATGAATTAAAACAAATGACAAAAATAACTCTGAAAATAGAAAAGAAGACTAATTAATAATTAGTCTTCGGTAGATTCAAGCAGTTTGGGGCAGATTACTAAAGCTGTTCCTTGATTACCAAAGTATTTCAGGTGTTCCTATAGTTTGAATGTCATAGATTTAAGTTTGCAAAAAAGAAACATTTAACACAAACACAAAGACAATACATGTTGTGAAAAACAAATTATTTAAGTGAGTTGGACATTAGGTACAGCTTTGATTAGTTGCATCGGAACATCGTTAATAAACAAAGAAGGACGACAAAGTATCAAACAGTCGAACTGGGATAAAACAGACTTTTTTCATCACATCTTCAAGGTTTACGGTTTAGGTTGAATTTATGAGGGACAATGCAGTCCTCACTGTACAATCATAAAACTTCCATATTAGCATACAGTTCAATAGACTGGAAGGATGCTAACAAAACCAAAGCTACGTTAGCCAACAACCAAACTCCAAACATCGTTGTCATATAACTTTAAACATATTGAAAAGCTCTGAACATAAACCAAGATTGCACAAAAACTTTCTTTACCTTTTGAACGTTGCCCACAAGATACATTTTGAGTCTGGAAATTCCTAAAATCATTATCCACTTGACGTTAAGCTCAGCGCAGTGATGTCACAGAGAAACAGCTCTTGAACACATTCATTGCCATCCAACGTAGAAATTCTAATATCTACAACAAGTTTAGGAGAATATTCTTAATAAGACTCAATATTCTCTCAGCAGCACTTCACCGACAATAACTCAGTCCTTAAACCATACAAATGCTGTTAAGAAAAACTGGTATTGTGCATATGACTCCGCAACTACTACTACTAAGTACACAATCATTAATACACACGTGACAATGACCTCATCATAGCTTTACATTCACAGATTCAGATTTTGAGTTAAAGTAAAACATAATTGAATAACTGCATCAAAACAAACACGGCAAAATGATCAGCTTTGACAATGTTTTTGTAGTAAACATTAAGTTGACCGGTGTTTCCCAACCTTTCTGTGCTGTGGCAAACCTTTTCCATTGAAAACCATCACCGGCTAAAACTTAAACAAACATAAAATTCTGCCGCCTTTATCGACACTGAAAGTCATCCTCATCAAAGTGGATTATATAGAATACAAACAAGCACAAAAAAGTATCTCTAATCTTATCATATTATTATTCTTTTCACTTTATTTTGACCAAATGGGTGATGTTGGACAGTTTCCAGAGGCACACCATACAACATATCAAGGCACACTAATGTTCCATGGCACACTGGTTGAAAAACACTGGTTTTCCAGCCAACAATGATCTATCATCCTACACTGGCTTACGAGTCTACAGGGGTCTATCAGTCTACAATGGTGTACCAGCTTAGCATGGTCTACTACCAGCCTACAATGGTCTACAATGGTCTACCATCCAGTCTACGATGGTGAAAAAGTTTTTACGATAGCCTTAAACCTTATGATCTTAACATAGATGCTATTGGTCAGACCCTAAATCTTTGAACATTTCCAAATAATGGAAGTTTATTTTAACCACAGTGCAGCAGGAACATGGACCCACTGCGAAGCCAAATATATTTCAATGTTGAGTCGAAAACAAGTGCAAAATGAAATATTATCCCATGTTTACCTCATACTGTAGTTACATCACACAGTTCTCAGACAAATCTCACATTTTTCATTGACCAATTTTCCAACTGAAAATCGCATTACATAAAACCGCAATCAAAAGTAAAGAATCCCAAATAATCAGGTTTTCCAGCAGTAAACATGTACCATACTTTCTGGACCATAAGGCGCTCCTGTTTATAAGCCACACCGGCTAAATTTGAAAAGAAATTCAATGTTGTCCACGTAGCTTCCAGGAATCATTCACCAGTCTCTATGACAATAAACATGTGTTCTGCAACTGCTAAACCTGGATGGAGTCAAAATAATAGTCCATAAAAACACACATATTAGCCGCATTGCTATATAAGCCGCAGGGATCAGTAGAGGGAAAACTAGAAAAAAGTGGCTTATAGTCTGGATATTACGAAAGTCACGGTGAATGAGTCATGGAAGCTAACGGTGAAGTTGTTAAAACCTCATCATTAAATCCTGTTGTGTCCAGTTAAAACAGTCGTCTCTCTGCTATATTAAACATGAAAACCTGCAGCTTATATTGAGGTGCAGCCTATATGTGGACAAAATAGATTTTCTATTGGAGCAGCTTATATACTGATGCGTTTTTTATAGTCCAGAAAGTACAATAATCAGGTTCTCCACCAGTAAACATTTAGTTGAACTCGATATTCTACTAGCCAGCAGCGCCATCCCAATTGGTACACAATTTCTTTACAAAATCAACAAAGCAAGACCAATAGCAAAACAAGCTCCGAAGCCAAAACCAGCAAAAGGTTTTAAAGTTTTTCACTCACCCAGAAGAGGAGGTTGAAGAAGACCATCCCGTAGCGAAGAGCCATCATGCATCCTTCTGCCATTTTACAGCGTCGCAGTTCTAGAAGAAATATGAAGGAAAGGTCCAGGTAAAACACCACGTACTTCTTTCCCGGTGTGTATCTGCCGTTCGAGGACTGGGGCTTTTTGGTTGTGGTGAACCCGAACGCGAACGGCGGACGCTTGTACTCGAACTCCCCACTGAATCTGTGGAACCCGGAGCTAAAGGGGGGAGTCTCCGGTTTGCTGTCCAACGAGGGACTTCGCCGGTACGGGGTTTCGTCGGTGCTTGAACGCCTCATTTTGGGATCGTTTGTTGTTGTTTTAGCAGGTTAAAGAGGTTTGGAGAAAGTTGAGTCCGAAAACTGGGGTTATCCAAAAGCCATGTCTTAGTGATGTGAAATTCAACAACATGCGGATTTCAAAATGTTTTATAGCAAGATATATCTGATAGAATTTGCGCTCTAGTGACTTTACCACACTTTCAACAATCTTAAACTTCACAACCGGATTCAGAACTTTTAGAATCCATGCTCTAGTGATGTCAATTGATAATTTGTAGTGTTGTTTCTATACGCCAAAAAGTCAACAATGCAATACAAAGCTCTTTCTGTTTGTCTGAAAAAGTTATCTACAATCACTTCCATTCCCTTATTCTAAGCTTCATTACTTTTTTAATCCATGTTCTGGCAATATCATAACAATTTGGAAAACATCAAACATTTCTACACTCCAAAAAGTCATCAATGGGATCCAACACAATTTCTCCTCGTCTGCAAAAAGTTCTCAACAATCACTTCCATTCTCTTTATTCTAAGCTTCAGCAAAGTCTCAGTGCATAATCCCGACACATCTGTATAATCCTGTGTACCTAACGCTGCGATAATCTGGCAAACACAGGTGCCATGCTGACACGAGATAAGCCTGGCTTTTGCTTTCGTCTCACAACACTTCTACAAAACCAGAACACAACCAGACCTGAGGGTGAGCTTGCTTTTCCACTTCAAATAAACTGGAGGCATTCAATCTCGGCGCAACCAGGCAACATTTCAACCAAGCAGCAAAGTGGTGCTTGGAATTTCAAATTGAATCAAAAGGCTGGAGGAACTTTATGTACGACAAACAACCACACTTGCACACATAGCATCCAGAATCTGTGTTAAAAATGTGAGAGGCAAAAGGAGAAAGCAGAGAGAAGACATGCAAGAAATCTGTCCGACGGTGGTAGATCTTGCAGTTTTGATTATCCTTAAATCCACAATCGCTTCTAACTTGTTCAAATTCTCTTCAGAAAAGTCTCCAGGGGATGCAACGCAAGTCCCCTCTGCCGTTTCGCATCCGCACGGCTCAGCGCTGAAGCTAATTAATTCCCAGTTATGCGAGCCAAAGTCGCGGGTACACCTCCAAATCCTCTTCGCAGTAGCTTCCCCCTCCCTGGCTAAGTGGGGGATGCCGGGAAAGGGTCCGGTAAGGTCATGGTTACGGGAGAAAAATCGCAAAGCTGAGCGAGTGGAGAGAAGCCAAAGCTGATAGTTTCCTTGCAGCTCAAGCAAAACTGCAGTGTTGGAGGGTTTGGAAGAGGATAGGTGGACCGCGAGTTCCCATAAGCCCCTCCTCGCTCGCTTGCCTGTGCTCTTTCTACCCCTCTCTCTCTCTCTCCATCACCCCCTCCCCTTCTGCTTCCTTCCCTCCCTTCTCTCTCCTCTCTCAATCGCGAACGGTCGGAGCATCTCTAGCTGTCCCCAGGAAGCTTCTATAAAACCCGGAGAAAGTAATTGAAATTTTGCTCTATCCCTTCAGCGGGGAAAAAAAGAAAAAAAATATTAACCAATCCGTGCGGTCGCAATAGGAGAGATACGAGAGCGCTACTTGCTAGTTTTGTGGTGCTTGGTTATTTTTTTACGGTTTGGCTAAGTATGTTAGCGGAGCGAAACATGTGTCTCCGTCTCATTACTCATGCAGAGGTTGTCCAAGTGCGCAAAGCTGGTCTCCCGGCTGACTGCGCTCCTGCAGCGTGGGGAGAAAAGGTAATTAATTTCGGCAATAATTCACGAGGGATAAAGTCATTTGCGCCCCCATCATGAGACATATTTCCCGCTGAGGGGTTTTACTGATTTTATTACCCGTCGTTACAATAGGTGCGGGCAATGTTCTGTTTAATGGTAAAAGTGAAAAGAGAAGCTAAGTATTGCATAAAGACGACAGTGTAATCCGACAAGACGCAAAATCTGCTGACGGCTGAGAAATGGGGAGAGGATAAAGGTTTATTTTGGGGGATTGGTGCGAGGGGGAAGAAAGCATAAGAGAAAAATGAGAGTCATACAGAACACCTTTTAATGAGCTCTTCAAACTAAACATATTCAGAGAGGTGATGGGTTTGCCTGCGGGGGAATGAAGACAGGCACTGGCCAAATGCGTTCAAAGCAGCGAGGTTGTAAAGGTGTGATAATAGGATGGGAATAGAGCGAAACTAAAGAGCTTAATTAGTAAATACGAGGGTAAGTATATCACCAATGCACCTGTCATTCAATTTTAATCCTGGTATAATTAATGCAAGCCCAGAAGAGGCTGTAATAAATATATGTATTAGGAATAGTGTGATTAGGGTAATGTTTAAAGAGCACATGCGATGACAAACTACTGCTGTAGCCAGAGCTGCCCTGGGGCACAGCGATTGTGAGTCACGATTTGGCTATTACCGATCCCTGTGAGTCACGATTTGGCAATTAGAGAGCCCTGTGGGTCACGATTTGGCTATTAGAGAGCCCTGTGAGTCACGATTTGGCTATAGAGAGCCCTGTGAGTCACTGTTTGACTACACCCTGCTCCCATCTCTGTGTGGAGTGAGAGACAAAAGCCCACAATTATAAACTTCTTTGGGACTCTGGTCTGTGAAAGGCGCTATATAAATAAAGATTACTTAATTACAATTATAGAGAGCTCTGTGAGTCACTGTTGTATAACATAAGATATAATAATAATGATAAATGGTCTCATTTTATGTACAAGTGGGAAGAAATGGAAACTTAAATTATTTTTACTGAACCTATGTCCATAATCATTTATATACTGAACCTATATCCATAATCATTTATATACTGAACCTATATCCATAATCATTTATATACTGAACCTATATCCATAATCATTTATATACTGAACCTATATCCATAATCATTTATATACTGAACCTATATCCATAATCATTTATATACTGAACCTATGTCCATAATCATTTATAAACTGAACCTATATCCATAATCATTTATATACTGAACCTATATCCATAATCATTTATATACTGAACCTATATCCATAATCATTTATATACTGAACCTATATCCATAATCATTTATATACTGAACCTATATCCATAATCATTTATATACTGAACCTATACCCATAATCATTTATATACTGAACCTATATCCATAATCATTTATATACTGAACCTATATCCATAATCATTTATATACTGAACCCATGTCCATAATCAGATCCTCTGCAGATGTGTACTGTGAATAGCTACTTCCGGGTTTCCTGCGATCGCTTTTTTTGTGCATTAAAACATTATCTTAGTCATGAAAACGTTAACAAATAATTCTGAAAACCTCCGTGCATGTGTGTTAATGTATATGTATAATGTGTTCTCCAATTTAAATGAAACACATTTAAACTTATATTTAAATGTGTTGATTGAAACATAAACAACATTTCATTATGGAAAAACATGCTGAATGATCTCATATCATCCCAAAACCATCCCACAGCAGAGCGCCTCTGTCCCTGGTCACCAATTCTTAAATCACTCCACCCCACTGCCGTGTAATTCTAAATAAGTACTTATTTGTAAAAAATCCATTTGTGTTTATATATCGGTGTTCATATGATTATATTACTAATTGACTATGTATATGTTTGTGTTTTTATATAAATGTGTATACATATATCTATCATGCAGTGTTCATAACATGGTGGTTTCGCAGTAGTATCAATAGCCAAATATTATAATACAATTGTTACTATTATTCTTATCATCATTGTTATATAATTTTAAATATATTATATATTAAATCTTATAGAATTATGATATTTACATACCAAAGTTATTCATAAAAACTAACAAAGCACTTGTTATTATTGTTAATATTATTATTAGTAGCAGTAGTAATTAAAAGGTAAGGGAAGAATAATGGTAATAATGAATATAATACAGTATATATATGACATTTTTTTTGTTTTTGTTTTTTTTATAAAAATTGGGCTCTCTCATCTGCACCTTGCTCCACTCCTCGGGTTTTTATTGCACCACATACAACAAAATGTTTTTAATGCACCACACAAGAGCACAGGTGCAGATTGGGGTTCTGACATCTCAACAAGTGCATTACTATTTATAAATAATTTTATAGTGAGTAATTTATTTATATAATAATATACAAAACAAATAAATATATATATATATATATATATATATATATATATATATATATATATATATATCATATACTACTCTTGATGTGTATATAAATTACAAAAATATACACTAAGAATAATAGATTTAGTAAAGCTGACTGCTGCTGCGGCAGCTGTGATGCTCCCGTTTATCTATTTTTATTTGTATGATTATCCTTTTTTTGTTTGTTATGTATGTCAATATGAATCCTGTCTGCCACTACTTCACCTCACCTATGTATTATATTCTTACCACCACTATACTATTATGTTGTTATTATCATTAACTCATATTATTATTGTCATTATTATTAATTGTTAATATGTCACTTTCTATCCTTGTTCATTTTACTTTATTTTTCCACTTCGATTTTGTATATCCTTCTCACCGAAGCTAATCTAAGAACTGACTCATGTAACTTACACCTGAACACACTAACACACTACACACACTACACACATCCAAACACTATGCACAACCACCGCCCTCAAGAACCATTTTGTATCTGTCTAGCCCCCTGCCCTTCCGTATCGCTCCACAGTATGTGTGTTATGTAAAAGCTTTGTTTGTCTGTATGTATGTATGTGTGAATAATAATAAAATAAAATAAAAATTGTTGATTGATTGTTACGGAAACGTAGGCGTAGACCAATCAGAAAGGAAGGGGGAGGAGCTTGGGTCATTTTTTCCAATCATGTACCTCTCATCACTTTAATCAATCCCACCCCTTATTTAAATAACTATTTCACCTTCCGAGTTTTACGCTTTTAGATAATTAATCACACACAAAAAAGCTTGAAAAAATATATATATTTTGTCACGCTAAAAAACCTTGGAGAACAACCA